CTCTTCTCACATATCAAACATTTGCCTTTGCTATTTCAAATCCTTTTCTAAACCTCTTTCAGGAAGATTTTTGATGATGATGCTGTACAGATGCCTACACTTTCACAAAGTTATCTGGTGTGCTAAGTGGGTTTGCACCCTAGGCTGAGTTTGCAGATTTAGACTGTGATCTCTTCTGGTGGGCTCCATCTCACATGACCAGATACTGAGAACATCCACATTTAAGCCAGTTATCTGGGCTCCCTCATGCTAGACACATCAAAGGGCATTTCACCCTGTCCTAGTTAAGTGGAATACAGTGTTTACTGGAGATGACATTTTCTCTCCATTAACCCTAGAAAAAGTAAGGATGACTCAAGACTAGTTACCTCACTTTTAGATGGCTAAAATTCAGAGGGCCAAATCCAACTTCAGGGTACAAAATCTGTGCCACCTTCTAAGACCAGGAAAAGAACTTGGTCAGTCATACCAACAGTACCCTCTGGTGTACCTTCTCACTTTTCATTTCACCTTAATTCAAAATAAGTGTATGAAACAATACACAGTGATCATGGACTTAACCTACCTCTTTGCTTAGAGTACCTGGCCACTGCCAAGCAGCACAGCAGAGCTCCTGTGACAAAGGCATGCTTGATGCCAAAACTGCATCCCCAGATGGAAAACACCCTAGAGCCAGTTCAAAGGGTTATGCTGAAAGGATAGGTTTAAGCCAAAGAGCATTGGGTCAATCTCTTGTTACACACTACCATCAATTGGGAAAAAAGAGAAAATCAGGTACAGCAGGAAAACCCAAACTAACCAAATCCGTCACAGAATAAGCTTTATCTGGGATGAGGCTACTTGCAGAGAGAAAGCGCATTTTGGTCAGGTTTTTGGAGAGTCTATGAACTCTTTCAACAGAGAAGGGAAACAACCAGCCAGAAGAAAGAGCAAACAGACAAAATTCACAGAGTAACAACTTGAGACCGCCTCTTACAGACTGCAGTAAGGAAACAGAGAAGCAGCTGAATTCAGAGCTGAGGCTGGACATCACCAAAACTCAGAGGAATTTCAAAATGTGTTTCTTGTTCAGGGCACTGAAAGCACTATGGATTTTCACAGTTCATCGCACGTTTCTTCAGAGTCTTTGAGTATTTTCCCACCTGTGCCAGTGGAGGAGGCAGGGAAGGAGTGGGGATCATGGTTAAGAACAATATACAGGCTGTGCACAGCAGAATAAACCAGCAAGCCAGGGATGGAATATTTGTTTGGCTTTGATTTACACAAAAGAAAACTATTAACACATTATTGGAATGCCAGGGTATTTCTGACAAAGGCAAGCACACCAGCTAGTTGGTTTATGAAGAACCTGGTAAAGTTCAAGAGGTGAGAATACACTGAAAGTTAAAGACCCAGTTGACTCAACGATCGGAAATAACTCTGTGAGTTTCAGCTGACAGCTAGTAGCCAGCAATTTTCCTGTCAGACTTATTATGATAGTTTAGGTGGCATTAACTTGGAATTGTAGAACCATAGAAGAGTTCCACTTCAAGGGGACTTTGGGAGATACCAGGTCCCACCTGCTGCTCAAAGCAGGGTCGGAGTTCAGGTTATCCTGGGCCCTCTCAGGCTGAGTCCTGAATATTTTCAGTGCTAAGGTGAAATGCTCAGTTTCATTTACCACAACAAACAAAAGAGATGCACAGAATAGTGCACAGAATAGTGATATTCAGTGTTTCATATGATCATTATTAAGCCTTCACTATTCCTACAAAGATGAATCATAATTTGCTTTATAGACTTCCACAGACAATCAGAGCCACAGCACAAGTGCAGCAGTTCTGCTGGTACAACTAAGGGTCTAAGACACCAAAGTAAGAGAGACATTCACTGCTTTCACTAAGGACAATTAGAGAGTTGTTTTCATGACAGTCTAATTAGCCAATTTCAAAACTCCTTCATGAACAGACATGCCATGAACTTCAATGACAGCTTCAGACACAGCAGATCTAACCAGGGGTACACCCAGGGGAGGACATTCACAGGGATCTGAAGTTGTGGCTTTTCTCTGAGAAATTTTCATACTTGAAAGAAAATAATTTTTGCTTTCTCAGTCCCAGATAACGTGAGGAAAATGTTTTCCAGCTGCTTTGCTATAATATATATATTGATAGCATATTTTAAATATCAGGTTTCTCTATGAAAAAAATGATTGCTTGCCATAAAATATCTATTATAGCTGTCTATAAAACTTTGTGCATTAAATTATGCTACAATTACAGTGTACGTTACTGTATTACAGGAGCTATAATTCCCATTACAAAGGCTTAAAATTTCTTATGTTAATGATAAAGCCAGTTGAAAAAACACATTCAGATAGTGAAAAAAATATCAAAACATTAAATGCTCAAAGGATTATAAAGGTGTATTTCAGCTTTAGATTGCTGGGCATAGCTGTCTAAAGGAATCTTGTCTCAAAGTCATTGCTAGCCATGGTATCTGAGAAAAAAGCTCAACAATCGTATGAAGAAACAAACCAACAAAAGCAATTCTTGGCAGGTTCAGAAGGGAGCCAGACAACAAGACGGGATAAGACACAAGGACAAATCCTTAATGGGGCTGCTACACATTGGAGAGAGGCCCACTGATGATGCAATGTGGAGATATTTGCCTCTGCAGCTCTCCTCTGTGCCTATTTGGAGCTGGCTGCCCAGCAACCTTCACATGCACTATAACAATAAAAGTATTTTTAAAACAGTATAAGAGGCATATTTCAGAGCGCACTCTGATATAGCATTTCAGGATTACTACATCAGCTCACTCTTACACCTGATTTGCAGCACTAGATGTCTCCGGGCAAAGCATGCTTGCATTTTCTATAGACTGCATCATAGTCTGGGGAAGAGCTGAAATGCATTTATGTATTGCCAAATCCTTTTAGCTCATCTTCTGTTTTTAGTGCACTCCCTCACATTGTTTCAAATTCCTTCATGATTCAGCTAAAACTATCATGGAAGAAAAAATAATAGCAACTGTCTAAGATCTTTCCTTCCTATGTCATTCACTAGGTTCTGGTATGAAGCACTGCCTTTTAATATATCCTACTGTAGTGACCAACTATCAGAGTACTCATGGCACAGTTCCTGCTTGAGATATTTTCCCTGTTGTGTTAGGAGAGGTTTCTATTTCTTTCCTAGCCAAAGTCTTCTGGGAAGGGAATTCAAGGGTCTCTTTCCTGCACTCTCCTTACACAATTTCTGTCGTGGCTGTGATCTGCCTCAGCTTCTTTGGTGTGGTCAGCAACTACTGCAGCATCAGCCTGGAGAAGAGGAGAGAGCTGGAGCTTGTTGTAAAGCCAACCTACTTAAGGCTTTGGCTCCTAATGTCACCAGTGCAGATGCAGGGAAGCACTCAGCTACAGTTCTCTGCTCCACCAGGCTGCCTTTGCAGAGCAAGGACTCAGCTTGGAAGTGGCATTTCTTTTAGTGTGTCTCTTAGGACAGAACTTTAATCCCCATTGTAGTCACTGATACACGAGAACCTTTGCAAAGATGTGTTGATCCATGCTTTCCTTGGACTCACTGCCTGAGACCTCTCACACCACCTCCTCTGCACACTGCTGGGCAGCCCCAGCAGCATCAGGGGAAGAAATGCTGCAGAGCACATTGCTTCCCAGCCGCTGCTCATCAGCTTTCTGCTGCAGCCAAAGGGGACTTCAGCATGTCCCTTCTGCCTTTTTCTAACGAACTGACAAAGTTTTTTCACTGCCTTTGTCCATCCAGAGGCATCAGTTTTGCAGCGCTTTGTGTTGGTCATGGGCAGAAGGGAGGCAGAAAGCATGAATGCTGGACGCAGTCTTTGCTGTGCACCATACGTGTTCATAGACAGGCTTTCCTCTTGGGGCTCTACACTGGGCATTGCTCATACATGCTAAGCCCAGATGCGAGCCCTCCAAGAATAAACAATGACATATTCAAAACAATCCTGAAAGTTGTCTTTCAAATAGCTAAATAGGCATTGCAATCAGGATGGCTCCCACTCAACCGCTGGAAACAGTCTGCTATTTCTAAGCAGAAAATGTGAAGAATTTAAAACCTGCAAGGGTGGGAGGACACAGAGCAGATCATGTCTCTCGTGTGAGCAGTAAGTGCTGCTACAGGCAGGTCAAGAAGAAGAACAGAAAATCTTGTTGAGCAGCAACAGAGTCAGTGGGATATTCAGTGAGAGCTGTTGGCCTATTAGCAGCCTAACCCAAATTTCCATCTTCACTACTCATCCATTGAACATCAGGCTTGGACATGCTCACATACGAACACACGGATTCATAAGGCCTAGATAAGTAAAAAATACAGCTATTTCTATTTACATGATCTCTTTAGTTGAGACAATAATTCCTTAGGAGTATAATTTTAATCATCATCAGTTTAAAGTTACCTTTATCTGAGGACATAAGAACTG